TTTTGAAACAGAACGTGGGTGTTTAGACATGAAAGATAAGGAATAAAAGAAGACAGGGTCCAGGGCCTGGAAGGTGAAAGCAAGTTAAAGCACGTGATGCACAAGCCTGACGCCAGAGTTAGGTCCCTGGAACCTGTGGTAGAAAGAGAGTCAACTCCTGAAAATTGTCCTCTGACCTCTTCATGTGGGGCAAGAGAGGAGGGGAGGAAAAGAGAAGAGAGGAGGGAAAGGGAGAGGACGGGAGGGGAGGAGAAGGGGAGGGAAGGAGAGAAGAAAGGGAAGGGGAAGGGAGGAGAGGGGAGGAGAGGAGAGTCTGGATTCAGTTCAGGCAGAAGGCCCACAGCCGGGCAGCAGTCTTGGAGGACAACCAGTCCAGCTTGAGGGAAGGAAGCAGAGAGCCATACTAGGAAGGCCTCTGTGGGGAAATAGAAAACTGCTGTGTTTAAGTGTTGGAAAAATTACTGATCAGTGTTTGGCAAACCAAATGGAGTGTTTGGGAAAACTAAAATAGATACATAGGAAACCAAACAGATGAAAGATTAAAGTAATTATTCCTTGGAAGAAGTGTCAAGAGGAAGAGAGCACACTGCTCGTCCACAGCTTGGCTCAGCAGGGAACCATATTGAAATTTCCACTGTGCACACTTTATAAACACTTAGAGTATATAACTGCTATATCAAAAATATGTGACGTGAGCCAGGCGGTGGTGGTGCACACCTTTAATCCCAGCACTTGGGAGGCTGAGGCAGGTGGATCCTGGTGAGTTCAAGGCCAGCCTGGTCTACAGAGCTAGTTCTAGGACAGTCAGGGCTACACAGAAACTCTCTAAAACAACAACAACAAAGAGATAAATAATAAAAGTAAATAAATAAGTAAATGTGACATGATCATGTTGAGAGGCTAGATAAGAGGGAAAAGTTAGAAGTTTAAATGTTCACCACCAAAACAATAATAGGAAGACATAATGTATCTAAACTCCAGAAATAAGAGGCTAGAGTACAAGGACATTGTACAAATATGTTGACAAATGTCTGAAGAAATGGGTAAGAGTTGGAGAAGATGTCCCCAAGGAAAACCTTGGGTCAGAGGGGAAAAGTAAGGAATGACTATTTTTATTGTCTTCTATCATAGACTGATATTTTAACAACGTGTATGATGGATTATTTTTTAAAAAGAAAAGGTTGAGGCTGCTTTAGCAGTTACAAGCACGCTCTGCTCTTGCAGAGGGCTGGAGGTCAATGCACAGCTGGGTAGCTCCCAACTGCTGGTAACTCGACCTCCAGGAGATGCAACGTCTCTGGCCTATGAAGGGTACCTGCACTCCTATGCATTGACCCCCACACATGAACATGATTAAAAACCATGTCTCTAAAAAAGTAAATAAATAAATAAATAAAATGTTAAGGATAAGCTTGCAGTGTGGGAGTAGAGGCAGAACGTGTTTACTGTCCTGTCAACAGCTTAGGTGGGCATGGGTGGAGACGGTAGGAGCTACAGAAAAAAGCCTGCACAAATGAAGGGCAAGGCTCACTATGCTAGAAGATGCTAGAGTGTGTTTATTGCCTGCATAGAAATGACAGATAAAAAGGAGAATCTAAGGCTGGAAGTGTAGCACAGTGGTGAGCACTTATGGAAAGGGAGAGGGGAAGGGAGAGGGAATCTCTCCCCCCCCCCCCCCCCCCGTGTTCTTCACGCACATATCTCCCTTCTTTTATTGCTTCAGATTAAAAACTAGGATGTTACAGTGCTAGACAAGTGCCCAGCACAGAACCATCTCAACAGCCCCCATGTTCTCTTCTCACCAATATTCCTATGTTTTTGCTCAGCACGGAAGTCTCATTCTCCCCTCAGTGCTCTGAACTTATGAAGGAAGGAGAACTCCAAGTCTTCTTCACATTTTGCACTCCTGGGTATGTTTCACACTGAAATGATACTCTCCTTAGGCTAAACCTCAATGCTTGGTCTTCATTTCATTCTTGAAAACAACCAAGTAAAGGATCTACTGAAACCCTTGATGAATAAATTAACATCTCGAGAGAGACCCAACTGCTATCCATCGACCTGTCCTCCTGTAAATATGATAGGAAGCCAGTGGCCCTGTTTAACCAAATGCCCTAGATATGAAGCTCACAGCACTGATGTGATAGACGAGCTGCAGCAATAGCCCATATCAGAGCATTCCCAGGACCATGTGTGGCAGGTAGTCACCATCATGGTGTCCTCAATATATTCAGTTGATTCACAGGTGTGGAAGACCAAGGTCTCCTCTTTAGCTGTGTGGATTGTACCAGCACATCCCTAGATAGTGAACTCTGTGGAAATGACATGTGCCCTACCTCTTAGAATTTCTCACTGCAGGATCCAGACAGTAGTTATACACTATACACGTCCGCCATTCTGAGACTGCTTTTATTTTAGCATACAGTAGGATTCACAACAGAGAAAAGAGTCTAAACTTTTAGCCCATTCACTCCTACAAAGTACATTAAGCAGCATCTTAAAAACATTTACCAATGGAAGACAGAGTCAGGCTGCATTTAATCCCCCACTTCCTATCCCCTGTGTATTCCACTTCTAATGCGTACTTAAAAAAAAAAGGCTATCCAATAAATGTACAGTTGGTTCTAAAATTACAAAGAGAAACTTCCCGGCGGTTGCTTTCTGTCATTTCTGAAGTGACTATGTATTGTTCTGCCAAGTTTTCTTAGCAGTTGTACTTTGTCTGTGGCTTGATGCCAGATCTACATACATAAACATCCTGTACATTTACTGTTAAGGCCTTCTGAGCACTCTCCCAGGGGTGATATCAACTTCCAGGAGGAAGTGATGTAACCATGGTGTGGGCAGGTAAAAGCAAGACATCAGCCAGTGACACTGAGTGTCAGCCACTTAAAGAAGGTCAGGCAGAGCCAAAAGGGGCCCAGCAGTTGATGCTGTTGTTGCTCGAGAGAAGAATGTCATAGAACACGAATACCTCATACCTCACAAACACAAGGTAGGCACTAGTAAAACAAGGAATGGCCTTGTCTTTGAGAGGATTGGATGTCCATTGATTCGAGTGCAGAAAGCCCCTTAAGAAACACAAATCCGTATTCTAACTGGCAAGCTGTCTTGTCCAATGATCATACACATCATACGTATCTTAGCTAATCTCTGTTTCTCTTTAACCTTCCAGACCCAGCATTCTGGGTTGTTGTTAATGTGGTTGCTAAACATATTTTAATACAAACACTGAGAACCAATGAGCAGCTGGAGACAGGTCTGCCTAAAGTGTGTGTAGAGAATTGGAGGTGGCCACACCCACCATCACACATACAATTCAATCCATGTTCTGTAGGGTATAAGGCATCTGGTTCAGAAAGGAATGCAGAGAGGTGCTTCATTGTGAAACATTGGCTCACAGTCTGAAAACAAAGCACACGTCTTCTTTTTCCAATTTGCCTTTCTCAAACACCCAAAGTGTGTGCTATCTCATGTGATTTGGGAAATTTAAGAATTCAGAAATGGAAATGTACAAATCTGGAACTCTGTAGTTACTGTAATTTTATAAAATTCACCTATGTGGCTCAGAAATTTTGGCAAAGATATGACCTGCATGAGATGGTGGTATGCTAAGCTGTGGTTTCCCAGCCTGGAGCTCATTTGTGGTTATATGACCATAAAGCACAAAACCTACTTTTTCAGGGTTAATCTCACAGACACATGGCATTCTGCATTTACACTCTGTCCCATGCTTATTAGAACATGCTCAAAAATTAAAGAAAATTATTCAAACATAAGTAAAACTGACAGTCATGATAAAGTACTTAACCACACCACACATACCAACAGGCACACACACACACACACCCCAAATCATGATCTGTTCTACATCTGCAGAGTCCACACTTAACCAAGGAAAATACTGAGTTCAATTAAACTATGGATGATGTCACTTTTTCCTTGGCATTGAAGTGTCTAAATTTGCTTGCTGCTGTTTTTTCTTCGTCACTGTTCCTGTTGAGCTTTTAAGGGGACATTTGGCCGCTCTGGTCCACTTCCCTACAATTTCAACCAATTGCACACTTGAACAGCGCAGAACTCTGATCCTAACGGTTCAAAGTTATTGTCTACGGAATCCTGGGAGTGGTTTGAGGTGGCCATAACTTCTAGAATACACACAAACACACACAAATAAATCAAACTCTCTTTTTCAGATTCCAAGTTCATCTTCGTTTTATTTCATGTCAGGTTGTTTCCTGAAGTCATATGAGGAGCTTTTGTTTTTCCAGATTTTAGAGGCCCTGAAATAGCTTTGAAAAATTTTTCCTTACATCACATATATTCAACCCAAGACTTGATAGTGCACAATGACAATGGTTAAACTCTGTCTTATTTCAAAATAGTTTTTTTTCTTTTTTTGGAAAAAAATGTAGAACTAAGTCTATTAAACTTGGCTTACAATTAGAAAATTTGGGAGCCAGCCTTCAGGAGCATGTGATTTGGCCCCCAAATCTCACTGGTGAAGAGACTGAGGGCTTCTTAGCCAATGAGCTAAATTCGATGGGGCCACATGCTAGAAGTAAAACTGAACTCAGGCCAGACCCTGTCTCAGGGTCAGCATCTTCAACAAAGCGTTCAGCAAGCAGCAGTTTTGCTAATCAGTTCTATTTCCCTGCATTGAAACAAATGCACAAAATAGGAGAAAAAAAAAAAAGAAAAGAAAATGCATGGCTATTAGATGATTATTTTATAAACAAGATACTTAAAACTTAAGTTAGTAGTACATGTAAAGGGTCGGCACACACAGAGGCAGGTTGGTTTCCATAGCAGCAGTAGCATCCTTACAACATACCCCCTTAGCCACTGCCCTCAGCCCTTCCCCCCTCCAAGAGAGGCAGTGCCGCTGGCTGCAGATTTCTTCAGCTCTATTTTCATAGACTGAGTCTCAGCTCGAGGCTGGAATTTGGTCAGATTTCCTGCTCCTGGGGCTGCCACTACTGGCTTTCCAGCTTTCATACCTTTTGACATGGGAATGCGGGTGGGTGTAGGCCGCTGAGATGACCCATCTTGTCCCGACTGTAAGAAAAAACACAGACAAAAGGGATACGTTGGTGAGTGGCCCCAGTTAGGCCCTAAACCTGTGTGTTGGCATAATTCCTGCCACAAAGGAGCATCCACAACAACCCGCCCCAGGGAAAAGGACTCAGAAAGCTGGAGTTGGCATCTAACCTACCTGGAACCCTTCCTTTCCCCTTCCTAACAGCTATGCGGAATTTCCCTCCCAAACCCAAGTTCACCTTCTTTATCCCTACCCAAGATGACCTCAAAACCTAGTTCTTAGAGGCATGCCACTGTCCTGTTTTCCTGCCATTTCAGAGGAAGTGGCTCTTTTTACCTACTTAGGACCTCAGACTTTTTAATTGGCACCCTGACCATGCCCATCTTCTTACAATGTTCCTCCCAGCGCCTTGCTTTGGTCTCTATCTGAGTCTGGCCCATGCTTCCAGTCTCTGACGACTCCTGTCTTCTCCTGATGGTTCATCCTACCCTGCCCGCCTCCTAGATGTGCCACCATGTCCTGGTCTCAGCCCTTTTAGTAAGGTTTCCACTTGTACCCTGAGAATCCCCTTGCTTGGAACTCCGTGCACCCCAGCCCTAGAACCTCTCGCCTCCAGCCCCTTCTGCAGTGCAGATCTAATTTCCAACGACTCGCTGGACATAGGCGGCAGCGTCACTTGGCATCTCAGAAAGTGTCCCACTGCTTGCTGTCATCCCCTGCAAATGTCCTTACATTTCTCACCCTGCTTACACCGCAAAGACAGTAACCCCTGAACCACCCTCTGCTTGTACGCTGTTGTAAAATTTCTTGTTGTTTTTCTCCTCTTCCTTCTGAGACAGGTTCTTACTATGCAGTGCAGGCTGGACTGAAACCACCAGCCCTCCTGCCCGTTTCCCGAGTGCTGGAGTTACTAGCATCTACCACCATACCCGGTTCTCAGTTCTATTTTCAACATGTCCCTATTTACATTGTCACGGCCACCGTTTAATCCTATACCATCTCTAGCCTGGAGAACTGGAATGGCACTTGTTAGCCTGTGTTCTCTCCTGTTTGTCCTTTCAGATGTTTGATAGAGATATCTTTCGGGAATTACGTGAAATATTTTCAGGATCATTCGTTAACTTTTCAGTGACTCCCTTTATCTATTCAGAGAAACTAAATGTGGCTTTCCTAAACCAATGCCTAATCCTGAGTGTGTTTGCATATTCTGCACCTGCACTTTCCCCACGGCCACTGCTACAGCACAAGGGGATCCCTCACTATGCCCCAAACTCACCAGGCCGCTTCACCTGGCCACGCCTTCACACATTCTGCTCATCTACACATTCCTCCCCATGCCTTCTGACCTGTGATGCCTCCTCTGGTAGTTCCTTTGTGCATACCTTTATCACAGAATGATTAAGTTCTCCTAGGCCTGCCTCACTGACTTGGGAACATTTACAGATCTCTACACCCCAGCACGGAGCGCCACAGCAGAAGTGTGGCTGAGGTACAATTAAAAAGTAAACGAATGAGCACCCAAATGAACTAGCTTCACTGATTATATTCTGAGAGTAGTCTCCTAAACCTTTTTGCTGTTCTCAATTTTATTTTGTCGAATTTACCAAAATACATGGACCGCCATCATTTAGGCCTGTGCAATCATACGTAATTGTTTTTTTAAATCTTATTTGTGTATAGGGCTTATGTGGCAGTCAGAGGGTAAGAATATCAATCTGAACTTCAAAATGAGGAGATGCAGCAGAAGAAGAATCTGCTCTACAATACAATGATTTACACCTCCACTATCTGTTTACAAAATGCAGAGACAAAAGACCTTGCCCAACAGAGCTATGCTTTGTCCTGGTGAGAAATGGTGCAGCATCCTTTGAGAAGGTTAACAATGCTGAATGCTGCTTGACTCCAGGGGAGCCAATCACTCAAAGCTTTCCTGCCGAAGCAAGGCCGATTCACACTACAAAGTCTGCCTTGAACCTGTACACAGAGAATTAGTGTAAATGATACTAAGGATATTGGAAGACGGGCCATGGCTCATGTACTTCAATAATGAGTTTGCTTTGAAGAGATTTCACCAAAAGCTATAGAATATGCTCTGTAGCTAAGAATCACAATTTCTAGCCTGTTAGTTTGAATTGATATTTAAGAGGTATGTGCTGTTGTACAGGAAATTTGTCCCCGAACCTACAGATCCAAAACAGCAGGATCTCCACGACACAGGACAACAGGATGTCCAAGAGGAGCCCCAGTGAGAGACCGTTATTGGTGGTGCAGCGGAAGCCAGAGGCCTCATGAATGACTCCTGGCAATGAACACTTGCAAGTAAAGATGAATGGAGTAAAGGGTATGCTGTGTGACTCAATGGGCCACACTACAACTTCCATGACAGGATTCTTACCCCCCGCCCCGTCCCCCCCCCCCCCCCCCCCCCCCCCCCCCGTCCCCTATCTCTTATTGTTTGGTTTGGTTTAGTTTTTCTTTTAAATTTGGTTTTGTTTTATGGGGAGGTTGCAAGGGCAGAGGGTGGATACGAGGGGACAGGGAAATAAGTGGGATCAGAATGCATGATGTGAAATGCACAAAGAATTAATAAAAGTTAAAAAAAAAAAAAACCTCTTATGTTCTAAGAAATTAGAACTTCTGTTGGGCCTCACAGCCAGTGATAATAATATACCTTGAGGTCATTTAGACTACTGTGTACTCAGCCTGTTTATTTAGTCTGCTTTTAAGAGAACAGTGTAACAGTTTTACTTGCTGCAGACTTCCCATGTGATCAATATTTATCACTTAAGCTAATGCATAGTTGTAATCTTAAGTTATATACTCTTCCATACCCCTGACCCAGAATAATGCATGTGTGTTATGATAATCATTTGCTAGAAAACACAAAAACTGAAATCAGTCTTTAAAAAAAAAAAAAGAAATTTGTCCCCAGTAAATGGAGACAGTTGTTAGAAGTATTTGAAAAACACAATTTACACTTAAGATGTACTTCATACATTTTCAAACTTATCATCTCATCTAGTCATCAAATATTTATAAAAAATGCATGCTCTTTGCAAGATATTGTTAACTAAAATACAGATTTTAGACATATAGAGTCACTTCTTTTCCATTTAAAAGATTTTAATATGAAAAATTTTCACTCCTAATTTTGGAATAAAGTATGGCTGTGACCACACATAATCACTACTGAACATTTACACCATGGAAATAAACCTGGAAACAGTTTTAACTCTTCCTGTATATATACTGCTTATTTTTTTAAAAGTATTTTGAATATAGAAAAAAGTAGCACCATTTCAAAGAGATTGTCTTTGCAAGTATGTTTTGGGGTCTCCATAAACTTACGTGAATACATGAAATATTTTCTTACTGATTCAATTAATCAAAATGTGAATTTTCAGTTCTAGGTGAGATCTTTTTCCATCTGTGTAGGCAGCTGCCCGGGGAGTGTCTGGATGCAGGCTAGGGGTTTCTTTATTGTGGTGGGGCTGGTTAGT